ACGATCAACACATGCAAAGTCCTGTTTATTTTCCTGCCACACAAACACTGTGGGGACACCTGTGGACTTGTCTGCTGCACGTGGAGAAAACTCACTGTGAGCAAACTGACGAGCTTATATTTTGTTCTAATGCATCTAAACAATGTCATGTTTTATGTTTGGGATTTACAGTATCTTTATTCCACAGTCACTGAACAGTCACCAGGGAACAGTCTGGTAATTCTGTTTAGTACAACACATAGAAAAGTAAAACTACAAACATTCAATGAAACGCTAAGACGGAATATGGACAAAACATATCCTATTAAGTATGAGAACATAAAATAATAATAATAATAATATAACCTAGTTTAAAAATGGCGACACCTCGACCATCTTCATCAGTAAAACACTGCTTATCCATTAATGCACGAGTCAAATGATCTAATCATATAAATTAACCCTTACAAAGTCAAGACATCTGCAAATATGAAAACACACTGTAAAGCACACAGTTGATAATATTTGACCATACTTCTATATTTTATCATGCTATTGTACATAATGTTAGAGACAGTGACAGTTGGTAAAAAGGAGAAGTCTGACTGGAGAAGAGGAGGCAGCCTAAATCACAGAAAGCCTTTAAAAACCACAGCAGGAAAAGGAACAAAAGGACTTTCGGCAGTTGATTTTCTGAGCTCGTGAAGACTGAGAAAGAGAAGCAGGCTGGGAAGATAAATCAAGGAGGGGGATGACTGACCTCAAGAAAAGCATGCGCAGCCTTCAAACACCATATTAAGATGCTGATTTTTCTATTGTTGTATATTGTATGTACACAGTTTTCATTAACACGTCAGTAAGGCTTCCCTAGTTGTACTTCTTGTCTTGGAGATATTTGATTTTCACAGGTACTTGATCAATGTGAAACTCATAACAGTCATTTGTTAAATATAATCAAGACACTGAACTGAAGTCTGCTAATAAACCGCTTCTGCATCGATCTGTCATATGAACTTCATTTGAATATCACCCATAAGGCCTTGCAGCACAGGGCTTACTTAAACACTAAAATACATTTTCAAATAATCAGACATGATTCACATGACTTAAAAACACAGACAGTGGCAGCCAAGCCAGCACTACCGTTAGCAAGCTTCTGCACGTGGGCTTGCAGATAACGAGGACAGTTGGACTGTAACGTTGATTTGACCACAACAAGGGAGAGATATTTACACACACACAAGGTAAAACCTCTTGTGGAAGAGACACCAGCTCAGCCACAGCAGCAGTACCCACACAGAGACTCTAGAAAAGGGAATGACACCCAGTGGGGGTGGAAGCTCTGCTGGCCGCCATGTCTTTCTGGCTAAGATGACGAGAGCCTGACAGCAGCTGCTCATGGCTGGTTAGGTCTGACTACCAACACTGTGGGAATTCCCACCCGCTCCCAGCTGCTCTGTTGCATCTTTAGCCAAACCAGCACCACTGATCTCTGCATCGACTGGCTGCTCTGTCTAAACTGGAACATCTGAACAACTATGAGATGCACTGCATTGTGTCATCTGGCTCCCATAAAGGAGGAGTACTAATGGTGACTGCCTGACGTTTCCTCTGACATTTATGGTTGTTAGGAGACCAAACGCCCCCGCACGATGAAGTGAAATCATTTTGGTAGTCCCAGTGTGGGATATGCAGGACCAGTAAGTGAGAAAGTCAAACTAAAGGTGTAAGGTAAATCAAGGATCAGCAAATGAAACTTGTCGCACTCTTGTGAGAAAACTGCTCTAAACCCGGAGTCACACGTGAAATCACAGCCATGCACACGCAAACAGGCCGAGGGTGTTTTGACTAATGACAGGATTTGATTTGAATACACTTTGAATCCTGCCAAACGTTCGTCCCAGTGGACTGACCAGCCATAAAGATGGCTACATCGATGGAACCAGGGTAAATTCAACTGTTGTTGGATAGTCACTTTATTTAAATGTTGGAAATTCAGTTTAGTGTTTCAGGCACTTGAAGATGTTCATCAGTCAAGTTGTGTTATGGTGTATATTGTATGACACTGTAAATGTGCACAACATCATTTTATTTAAATCAAAGAATAAAAGTCTTAATTATTTAATTCCCTGGACAAGCCGTGTCTACTCTTCATGCAGCGTTGATGAAACTGACCCACAGGTGATTAGCATCATATTCAAATAGCGGTGCTGCTGGCTCTGTGACCTGACCCTCCTGTGGCACAATAATGTGAAAAATAAATTTGCCTGCTGTAATAAACCGTAAAAAGGTGTCATACAATATGATTTGCAACAAATCCCACAGTCCAGTTCTTAGTCGTGATATACGTGGATCAGATACCAGTGAAAGCAGTCGGAGAGTTCAGAGACGCAGGAGAAGAACGACCAGAGATAAACGCTGCCAAGGTGGGTGCCTTTTAAAAATAAACATTAGTTAAAGGTTTAGTTATTTAGAGATTTTAAATTAGTTGTTTATGTGAACATCCTGTTGACAAGTCTTGATATTTTATAAACTGCCACTGGTTTCAGGAAGTTCTTTTCTTTTTTTTTGATGTTGTTGAACTTTAACCTTCTCACGTTCACACACAGACTAACTCTTAGGAAACCATCATTTAAGAGCGTTTAAAATTGTGAATGCTTCACTTTTTAAGATCTAGAATAAAATCATTTTTGTTAACGCTACTTCTAAAAACTAGATGAAGCAGAAAACATTTGCAGACATGTTTGCTTATCTGAAGAGGAGACCCTTCGTGTGCAAAGACTAAATATGGGACCGTAACATTGCTTTGTGGGTCCAGGTCAGGAGGGCACATGTGCAGCACACTGAAATCTACTGCCTTGATTCCTGATCACATTTTATTAGCGATACAATCAAATCTTGCTCATTCATTTTCTTTTTCCTGTCCTTTTGTCACCCCCTTCCTCTTCAGGCCTCCAGGTCTATAAATATGTCAATCAATTCCTCTACCTTTGCTAACCTCTCGTCTTCCAACTCCTCGCTCCAGTCTCTGACTTCCTCATGTTTCCAGTCAGAAGCGAGCATCGTTGTGTTCTCTGCTTTCTTCACCACCAACCTCCTCCTCCTGCCTTTCTTCATCCTGGTCTTCTACCTGGTATACCAACAGTGGAGGCAATACTGCTCCAGCTCCACAACAGCAACAGGTCACTCTGACCTCTTCACCTACCACTCCATCGCCATGCAGCCATTTGTATACTTGGGCTTCACCTGCTTCTTTTGTGGCGGGTACTTCAACATCTCCAAACTGACAGCGGCGGGGCTCTCATTCTGGTCTGTCGCTTCCTTTGGACAGGCTCTGTTTCACATCCTCACCTGTGTGGAGCGCTACCTGGCTGTCGTTCACCCCATCACCTACCTGGGCCTGAGAACAGCAGCTGGGGTCAGGATCAGAAACATCACTATCGGATGTGTTTGGCTGCTGAGCTCTGGATGGATGGCTGCACTGTATCAAACTGGCACAAACTTAAATTTGATCATGTATTGCTCCAGTACGATTGTCTTCTTAGTTGTTATGTCTTTTTTAAGCATTTCGGTTCTCTGCGCTCTCAAGCGTCCAGGGCCGGGGGAGGTGGGTGGGAAGAGGGAGCGGGTTGACCAGTCGAAGCAGACGGCCTTCCAAACCATCTTGGCCATAATGGGAGTGCTTCTGTTAAGGTTTGGGGGAAACCTGATTGGCTTTATGATGCTCATCTCGGCAGTGCTGAAACCCAGTAACCTTTGTATGGTGTATTTCTTCGTGTTTTGGTTGGATCTGCCCAGCACGCTGGTGTTACCGCTTGTGTTTCTGCAACGAACAGGGAGACTTCAGTGTTGTAAACAAACTCCTGAATCAGCATGAGAGCTGGATTACTATAAAATGTCATATTTGAAACAGTGTGTTGAAGAATTCCTACTTCTAAAAGATAACGCTGATTATTTTTTATGTTGTTATTTTGCACAAATCCCACCCAGACCCTAAAATCAACAATGAATTCACCGTAACGTGCACGAGTCCAGACCCTGGTTCAGCTTCTCGGTTTGTGCCGTAGACCTCCACTGTTGTCCACCAGCTGTGTGTGCAGCACAAGCAGCTAGTGGAGCAGTGTAAACACAGCCGAGACCAATGACTCTGTACAAAGTGATGCTGTTCTCGGCCTTTGGGGCCATTTCTTTAAAACAGACGTTTCCTGAGAGAGAAACCTGTCGCCCGAGGGCAGCGGTGTAGCTCAGTGGGGTGGGTTTATTACTTGGTGGAAGTTATTACAGTGGAGTCTATAACCAGCAACTGAACCCTGGGTCTGGGTTCACACATTACAGCGAGCACACCACATTCTCTGGATTTGTGGAAAATAAAAGAAATGTACAGAATCACCAGCTCCATCCTTTAAGTCAAACTAGTATATATTTGTGTAAGTAGGACAGTCAGACGTAGAGGTAGATAGAGAAGCACATACGTGTGGTCTTACTTCTATCAATCAACTTTATTCACCAAGTGGGCAAACATTCAAGGGATGGGTCGTTTGCTCCCACTCAACAATTTAAGGACAACACATCCACACACTAGAACACAGACAAATTAATTTAGCTGGAAAATAAAAAAAAAGAATTTAAAAAGGGTGAAATTCACTGCAACATACATATGGTGCTATAAAAAATGATATGTAAATCAAAACCCAAGATAACAGTTACTAAGATGAAATACAAGAATAAAAAAGGAAGAATCCATAAAATAACCACAACTACAAGCAGCTCAAAGGACTGAGGAACTGTCTTCAAACTGTCTTCTCCATAGGAACCAACAGTGCAGCGCTGCTTTGGAAGAGTAATGTTATATATGTAAATAGTAAAGGACCAAGATTAGACCCCTGTGGTGCCAAGGCCTGGTCCAAAACACAAACTGCATGTAGAAGACATGAGACAAAATGTATTTGTAAGTTGTGAATGTGAAAAAAGAAACCAGTTTGTCATAAATCTAGTGACACAGATGTATGTCTGTGACTGGGGGCAGCAAAAAAACAAAAACACAAAACAGAACTAATGTTGCGTTTTGCAGACCAGTCAGGTCATGTGTGGTAGTTATTGTTCATCAGGAAATAAAAACAAATTTTCTGTGTACCCAATGCAAATGTGTGTTTCTGCTATAAGCAGTGATTGGTGCATGACTGCAGAGTTCAGTGAAGGTGTCAGGTGGCTCACTCCTCAAATAACAAAAAGGTCAATGTCATGAGAAAAAAAGCCAGTGTGAAGCAGCAGATCAATGATCACTGCAAATGTCCAGACCAACACACCCGATATTTAAACATGATCCATGTATTCAGACTGGTCACCACTGGATCTCAGCCAGATGTGAATAATGTCTGTACAGTTCAGGCCACTTCAAACTCAGCAAGTTGAAAGGTTAACGAAAGCTGCCTCTTCCTTCTGTCTCACCAAGCAGCTAAAGGTGTATTCAATGGAAAAGTAGAGCCTACACGTTAGAATCGCTTCGAAAGACTCAAGATCCCTGTGACATGCAAGACAAGCATCTTAGGAACAACAGTGGCAGCCAAGCCAGCGCCACAGTTAGCAAGCTTCTGCACGTGGGCTTGCACATAGCCAGAACTGTTGTTAACCACAACAGGCGAGGACTATTAACGTACGCACACGCACACACACACACACACACACACACACCAGCTCAGCCACAGCAGCAGTACCCACACAGAGACTCTAGAAAAGGGAATGACACCCAGTGGGGGTGGAAGCTCTGCTGGCCGCCATGTCTTTCTGGCTAAGATGACGAGAGCCTGACAGCAGCTGCTCATGGCTGGTTAGGTCTGACTACCAACACTGTGGGAATTCCCACCACTATCCCTGAATTCCCACCCGCGCCCAGCTCCTTTGTTGCATTTTTAGCCACGCCAACAGCACTGGATGACAATCTTGATTGGCCATTTGTCCAAGCTGTAACATCTGGATAAGCCATAGTATTTGGTACATATGTCCCATAAAGGCTGAATGCTAATGAATGAGTTGACTGCCTGACTATTCCTCTAAACATCAGGTTGACACACTTTGAACAACTTTCAATTCAGACATTCACAACCAGAATAATGGTTGTATCTCTTCCAGCTCAGCTGTATATCTGCGACTGGGGAAAAGTAAAATACAAAACAAACAATCCTGTGTTTCACAAACCCAGGAAGGTCACATGTCTTAGCTACTGTATGTTCAAATTATAAGCAGATGACAGGTTGCACCCAAGCTTTTATTTACTCAAACACCTTTACAGAAATAAAAGGGAACCTGATCACTCAAACTCTCACAGTTCTGAGTAAACAGGAAGCGTTGATACTAATGTGTCTGCGCTATGTTGTGGTTTCTCCCGCCAGGGGGCTCTTCATGTGTGTTTTCAGACAGTGACTCTGAGTAAAGCCTTTGTCACAGACACTACACTTGTACGGTCTCTCCCCACTGTGGGTCCTCATGTGGACAATCAAGTAGGCTTTACGAGCACAAGCTTTCCCACAAACCCCGCACACAAATGGCTTAACACCCGAATGGATCGTGATGTGGTTGTCCAGATGAATCTTTCGCTTGAAGGACCAGCCACAGTCTGGACAGCGGTACGGTGTCTCCCCAGTGTGGACACGCATGTGAATTGTCAAGGGTCCCTTGGTGGAAAATCCCTTGCCACATTCGCCACAGTGGTACGGCTTCTCTTTGGTGTGAGTTCTCATGTGAATCTGCAGCTGGTGGCTGGTCAAGAACATTTTGCAGCAAACGTCGCAGAGGTATGACCTCTCTCTGTCCGTGTGAATCTTCTCATGCTGTCGCAGAGTCCCGATAAGTTTAAAACGCTGCCCACAAATCTGACAGGCATGGGGTCTCTCCCCGGTGTGGGTCATCTTGTGGCGGGATAACGATCTGAAGTCACTGAGGGATTTACCGCACACGCCACAGAGGTGCATCTTCTTGTTGGTGTGAGTCACGTGGTGAGCTTGTAACTCTTCTTTCAGCTCAAACACTTTGTGGCAAGTGTAACATTTTTGGGGTTTGCTCGCCTCATGAAGTTTCATGTGATCATTCAAAGACACCTTCAAAGCAAATGCATCATGGCAAACGTCGCATTCGAACGGTTTCTCCCCTGAGTGGGCAGCCACGTGCTCCCTGAGACCGAGAGCACTGAGGAAAGTCTCCCCACAAATGTGACAGTCATTGGTTTTGTGGTGACTCTGAAGATGATCCTTTAATGCCTCCATGGATTCTGGCAGCTCTCCACAAACTCCACAGAGACTTCCTGGATTGTCCACATGACTCCAGGCGTGCTGGGCAAGCGTGACTTCTAATTTGTGCAGAACTCCGCAGACTTTGCAGGAGAGAACAGCATCACTGTTCTTGGCCTTTGCCTCAGTGGTTTTTTGTTTCTTTGACTGCAGTTCAGAGTTGCTTTCCCTCGTCTTCTCATCACGATCTGGTTTCCAGTCATCGTCACTGTCATTCGCCTCCTCTTTTTCTTCCTCCTTTTCATCATCAATACTACCGTCCTTATTACTCCCAGCAGCAGAGTGGGCCACAGTGCCCTCTGCTGGTCCTGATATTCCATGATCTTCCTCACCAGCCTCTGCTGTTTCCATTTCTGGTGATGTTGAGCTGCTGGATGGAACCTCCACTCTGCTACCTTGGACCTCCTGAACAGGGGTTCTGCAGGAAACAAGAGAGAACGGGAATGAACGGGAATGCCAACTGCAAGCCAGGCCTTCCCACCCAACATCAGTGTTTAGTTATCCACATACCTCTGACCACGTGGTGAGTGTTTCACCTTTTACAATGCTTGGTCCTTGTGAATTACCTGGTTTGTGTCATGGTTTCATCACACGCCAACGTGGCAGATGTGGACTGGGAGCCTTCAGCACCGATGTCTTCTTTCTGGAGAGGATGAGAATCTTTCTCGCTGACCTGAGGTTCTTTTTGTGCCTGGAAAAACACAGAGGTCTGACTCCACTTACTTTGAAGAAATGATGCCAACTTTTAAAAACTTTCCCAAAGAACCTGAACAAAAGGCTGCTTTGTCTTAAAGGCAAGCAGCCAGAATGAGAAGCAAACATGACAAACTACCTTCAGTCTGATGAACAGAGTCAACGCCCCTGATCCTGTCAGGCCGACGTTTCTGTGGATCTCCTCTGGTGTCACAGTCTTCAGTTTCAGGTGCTGGAGTCTCCGTCGCTTGTTGGATGTTAAGACGTCAAAAGGTTTGTCGTCTCCAGCCAGCTGGGGGCAGGTGGCCCTCAGCAGGTCCAGGAAGTCAGACTCCTGTAGACCACGAGGACACTTCAGCTTCACCACCGGACATGTCCTAAGAACTGACACAGGATAAACGAGCACAATAAGGTATGTGAAAACCTTAATGATTTGGGTGAACTGACCCTTTAAACACAACTGCCATTTATTTCATGGTCTCTTCACAACAACCACACACATATATTTTACTTTAATTTTTTTAAATTACCATTTTTTGACAGCACTTTGGTCTGTGAGCCCTTCAGGATGCGGATCCTCAGGACCACGTGGTTCTGTGCTTTGATGGACTTCCTCTTCTCAAACTGACCTCTGCAGGAAAAAGACGTGAAAGATGAAAACTGGCAGAAGGTCAGTTACAGAAATCTACATCTGCCAATACTATAAAACATCTGATCTAATCAAGCTGAGGTGACACTTTCCATCTGTCTGCATTTGATGTTTGACAGTTTCATATTAAAAAATGCAGTTCCAGCAACATTTTTCAGCTTAGTCCAGAGTAAAACTACCATAGTTAGAATGAAACTGAATGTGAAGTTTGCTTTTATTTACAACATACAACCTAAAGTTAAACTGGACTTGTGCGTTTTAATTACGTCTCAGTTTTCGTATGTAATCTGTGATGAATATTCCACAATAGCAGGACTTTTGTTACCAAATTAGCTCAAATCAAGACATAATGAAATGAAAAACCCATTTCAGCATCACTACGGCAGTGGTAGGTTTAGCTCACTCAAAGATTTCATTGCAATTATTATTTTAATAGTTATACCTTGTCAGACACGACAATTTCTATTTTGTCAAACTCATTGAAGTGTTTGTTTTAATACCAGCTGTACTGTTGAATTAAAACACTGGCTGTGATTGGATAATGTAAATATTTTTGGTCACGTGTTTTCCTCCATGGGAGATCATAAAGCTGATGGGAAAGATGCACAAAGGGTAAGAAACACTTGAATTTTAATGGAGTTTCACACAGTAAACATGTGTCTCATAATATCTGGATCAAACTTTAATAATAAATCAGTACTGATGCTTGTTAACACAGTAAATCAGACCAGTGTTACAACTATCGTAAAGGTGTAAACGAAAAGGAAACGACAGACATTAGTGTTCATAAAGATACATCCCATCTCATTCTTGTAGCCAAAACAATGATAATACAATTTATTTATGTAGGAAATGACCTTGATGGCCTTCGAACATACAAGTCTTGCGGGTTCTTCAGGTGGTCAGGGTACTCGTCCTCCTCATCTTCACCCTCATCTTCCTCAACATGGTGGAGACTCCTGCGGCGCTTCCCACCTTGACAAAAGACAGGAATGAAGTATTTTCACTTCACATCTAAAAAAAAAGTGACTGTGAGGGTGATACGGTTTATTCTAGTTCACAGAGACTAATTTCTTTTCATGCTGAGTCTGTTTAAAATGTTCTGCTCAAGCTTGATGCACATCCTGTATAAGAAGCACATGTTAACAAAATCTTCTATTCAATATTATATCTGAGGTAGACGTGGCTCAGCACCTTTACCTAAAGCAGTTACATTAAGCTGTAAATTCAACAAATGGGGGGATATTCCTGTCTGCAGAGACCAAAGTAAAGACAAAACAGTGGACACCCCACTCAGAAAGGAAGGAAATGAAGATAATGACAAATTAAAAAGCTAAATCATACTCGTTGGTCAGATACAAAAAGCTGAATAAAAGAGTAGGTGACTGTGATTAATGGTTCACCCTTGGTTTTGTAATTAGATGTATGTGAATTCATTGTCATTGAAGTCAGCCTTAAATTACATAACATTTTAATGAAGTTCGACATTTCTTCATCACTATAATGTGGGACTTGCTATATTTCAAATCAAATCAAATCTAATTTATTTATATAGCATTTTAAAAACAACATCCAGCTGACCAAAGCACAATAACACAGACACACAGTTAACACACATTAAAAATATTAAATTAAAAGCAATGCATCAAGCACTACTGTGTATTAAAAGTCAAGCCAAATAAATATGTTTTAAGCAATGATTTAAAAGTACTGGTCAGTAGCTGACCTAACATTATAATGTAGACTATTCCATAATTTAGGGGCTGCAACAGTAAAGGGAGGTGATAAAAGAATGGACTGGTTAACACCATAGTATAGAGCATTGTGACAGTCAAGGTGGGAGGTGATAAAAGAATGGACTGGTTAACACCATAATATAGAGCATTCTGACAGTCAAGGTGGGAGGTGATAAAATAATGGACTGGTTAACACCATAGTATAGAGCATTATGACAGTCAAGACTAGAAGTGATAAAAGAATGGACTGGTTAACACCATAGTATAGAGCATTGTGACAGTCAAGACTAGAAGTGATAAAAGAATGGACTGGTTAACACCATAGTATAGAGCATTGTGACAGTCAAGGTGGGAGGTGATAAAAACATGGACTGGTTAACACCATAGTATAGAGCATTGTGACAGTCAAGTGATAAAAGAATGGACTGGTTAACACCATAGTATAGAGCATTGTGACAGTCAAGTGATAAAAACATGTCCTGCCATCTCAAAATCATTAAAAGAAAGGAATGACTTGACCTTGTTTAACAGCCTCCGGTGGAAGAAGCTAGATTTCACAACCGAGTTGATTTGCTTGTCAAACCTCAAGTCGCCATCAAACATCACCCCTAGATGTTTTACAGTCGACCGCAGGTGTCGAGCCAGGGGCCCAGACCCTGGTCAGGAGCAGTCAGGTTCACCAGGCCACCAAATAGCACTCAGTCTTATTTTAGTTGAGATTTAAAAAGTAAAGTGCCAACCATGATTTCAAGTCTGTCAGTCAAACAATGGCTGTAATGACAGGATTTCGTGTTTTAATGCCAAGAATCACCAACCAGCTTTGCCGAGTGTGACCTGAGACTGCAGGAGAGCCTCCAGCTGTCTCCTCTGCCGGTCGATCTCCTGTCGGAAGCCCGAAGCCTCCTCCTCGTAACCGGCTACGATCCTGTCCACAGCCACGAAGATCTCCTGGGAGACGGCGGCGAGTCTCTCGGTCACAAACCCTCTGAGAACCTCAGCTTTAGACATTTTACTCCAACTGTCGACGGCGTCCGACGCGTTTCTATGCATCACACTGACCACAGGTTTAACAGTTTACATAACAGGTACTCACTCCTAGCATTGTGCAGTAGATACTAGCTGAACGCGCTTCCGGTTTTGGTACAGGCACAAATGTCATCCGGCTAAAACACGACACCGGCGCCAGGCGTTCCTCTGTTTTCTGTTTGTTGTACGGAAGGTGTGGAGTTTCATTCATTCATTAACAAATCAATACCTGGTGCACATTTAATAGCCTCATTCGTTTATTTTACCCAAGCAACGTTTCTCCTTCCAAAAATAGGAAAAGCTGATCAATAAAAAGTGCTTGTGAACAATAACTTATACATTTTTTAAACTAAAAAAATCAGAAATTCACTTTTCAAAAACACCAAGAGAATCGTGTGTGTAATTACTGAATGTAAAGTCATTTTAAGGTAATTAAACCTCAAAATCACAGAAACAATACTGATGAGTCCTCTGTGTTCTCATAGCTACAGTCAGTGATGGGCGATGTTCTCATAGCTTTTACTTAAGTAAAACTAAAAGTACCACATTGTCAAACTACCCAAGTAAAAGTACTTAAGTGTTATCAGCTAGATGAGTTTGGGTTTTAATCATTGTCATTACTGCAGTGACAGAAAACAAAGACAGGACCAGCACAAAGCAACAGGCAGAGGAAGAAAGCAACTGTTTGTCAGCAGAGGTACAACATACAAATTATACATGTTTTACTCTGCAGAATGTAAAACTGTAAAGTTTGTCTCAAGAGTAGAAAGAACAGAGGAAGGTTCATGTTACCCAAACAAAACAGGTTACTTTAGAGAACAGGCTGCATCAGAGACGTTTGCCTACAGGTTCATATACACTTCTATATCAGTCAGTACAGCTGTCTTTACAGACGACATAACACTTAAAGGCAGTGATACAGGGACAGAGTGAAGAGTGCTGCTTGGCTGTTACTTGTAATGGTAATGATACAGTTGTCATTCATGTGCGTGACAATAATGTGAGGTTTTAACATTTTGCTGCAGACCTTCAGCTCTCCTCCTCCTCTCTCATGTCTCTCCTCCCCTCCACCTTCTCTCTCTCTATTTTCACCGGCGTGCTCGACTTCCTGGGCTTCTTCTTTGGCATGGGGTCACCAGACTCCCACCCCTGCTGCTGACTGGTGAGTAGGCTGGTGCAAGCCTCCCCTTGTTTTCCACCTGTGACACCACGTCCACGTGACGCAGACTGATCGTGGGGGGGGCCAGGGAGGGGAGCAGGTACAGTGTGGTTAGTGTGAAGGCTGAATAGGTGACGACGGTTTTTGGTTTTCTTCACTGCAGGAACAACCAGAGGGATATGGGTGGGAGGTGTACACGGTGAGGAGGCACTGTGAAGAGGAAGAAGGGGAGGAGGGGGTTGGGCCTGGGGGTCCAGGGTACATCTGTATGTGGAGTCGTTCAGGGTGAAGTTCAGGTCTTGGCTCAGAGTCTGGGCCAGAGGGTGAGGACAAGGAGGAAGACAGTCAACTTGAGGGGACGTGTTTTGCTGGCTGCCATGTTGGATGCTTGTATGACCATTTAACCCATTTCTCAGGGCGTGCACATGTATGTGTGCATCATCATCCTGCCATTGTGTGTTACTGATTCCTTTTTCATGTGTGTTTGTGTATTGTGTACATTTTTGCGACCCTGCTTAAATTCACGGTGTATGTGTGGGTCAGAGTGTTTGTTTGCGTGGGTGTGTGCACCGGTGTGTAGCCGTGGATTTGGGTTGGCACTGTGACGGTTTCGGCTGCGCAGTGAGCTGAAGACCATGGTGCAGCCCGCCACCGTGCAGCGATGTTTAATCTTCAGGTGGACGGCGTTGTAGTGGATCTTCAGTGTTCCTGCACAAACAGCAAAGAAGACGATGCTCTTGTTAAACGGCGGCTGACAGGCCGGCTTCACATAATAGCTGTTTCTGCACTGGAAACTAACAGAGAGCCCAAATGGAGCCCAAATGGAGCCCATGCACCATGACAATTTCAGATGAGGTTTCCTTCGACAGACACATCACAGCACTACTGTGGGTGCACTTTTCTTGTGTGAAATTTGTTTTTGTTTGCAACCTGTGTCAGCATTTAATCATTTAGAGAAACAAAGGTCATTATTTTGTTATCTTGTCATGAACTATAACACCCACTTAAAATTCATTTATCATTTACCCCCATGGAACCCTAACACAGACACATCATTTTGAGACAATTAGACATTGTGGAACCTCAAAACGCAAGATTAGTAGAGGACCTGCAATTGAAAACCGGGGAGCCCAGTGACAGCACTTATTAAACCCAACATCAGTAGGCAAAAGACAAAAGATCAGTAGAGGACCTCAACCAGAACCCTGTGGAACACCAACACACAAGATAAAGTGAGGACCTTGAATAGAAACCTAATGCCCTCCAAGACACAAAATTAGTAGAAGATCTTGACATGAAGATGGATTTGCTGTAGGTAATTAGCACAACATTCCTACCTTTGTCATAGAAGCTTTTCCCACAAACTCCACAGCAGACCCTTCCCTTACGAGCTCCTTTAGGACAAGGAGAAGGTAGAGAGCATAGGGAAGATGGGAGAGGATGGAGGGATGAAGATGAAGATGGGAGAGGATGGCAGGAGGGAGAAAAGGGGGAGGTGGGAAAAGGGCAGAGGAAGGAGGAGGAGATGGATGTGAGAGGATGGAGAGAGGAGGAAGAGGAGCCTTTGAATGTCTGGGAAAGCCTTAGAGAAGAAGAAGAAGAGGACAAGATAGGCAGCTCAAGTGAAGAAGAAGTGACAAGTGAGGAGTTTAAGGAAGAAGAGAGTGAAGAGGTGTTCTCCTGTTTGGTCACGCCCTTGTGACTCTGGTGCCATAGTGATTGGGCCAGGTTTGGCTCGTCGGGGTCCGCTTTGAGTTCTAAAGTCAGTTCACATTTGGTTTGCTGTAAAATTGCACCATTCTCTTGTCCTAATCTTCTTCCATTCTGCCCATGTTTCTTAGCCAGTTTGTTCCCACTGGGCTGTCGTAGGCACTGGGTTAACTTAGAGGGAGGAAGAAGCTCCTGATAAAAAAAACAGGTCACAGTAAGTGGAGAAAAGAAAACGTTGTGTATTAAACTTCTCTATATTGGCAGACAACTCAGTGTAGAGGTTATTAGGACATTTCAAGCTGCAGAACAAGGTTAGGAAGCTTCTAGTCTAATTGCCTGGAAAGCAAAAGTTATTTAGTTACCTTGGTAGAAGGAACCAAACAGTTGAAATCAAAGCCTGGAAAGTGGAAAGGATAAAGCTGTCCACCTGGAAAGTTTTCGAAATGAACAGTGTCACTGCGGCTAGCTGTGCTCTTTTTCTCACAGCGGTAGTCACCGGGCACCAAATGTGATTCTCCTCCTCGGGTGTTCTTGAACAGTTCTGGAACTCCCCGGTCCCGCTCGGTGAGTGAGCTCTTTGGGACTGGATTTCGCTCTGGATCAGAAAAGTGATTGGCAGCTGCCAAGCACTGAAGCATCATCAACTCAACGACGGGGCGTGTTTCGCCAAAGCGAAGGAACTGTTTGAGGACAATTGGCTCTTCTTCAGGGGACACCATCAACCAGCAGTCCAACACCTTCCCACTGGGATCCTGGCATTACCAATGAATGGATGTTTACTGATGTGGAACTACTGTAACGTCTCATAAGAATCACTTCAGGCCAATTCAAAACACCAGCTTCGGTTGTTAATCCTACACTCAGGGTCTATAAATAAAGCTTGTTTTGTATAATCAGACACTAGATATTGATGTAACATTGCATTGCAGTGACGTGTTTACCTTCAGCATGTACCCTCTAACATAATCCCCCAAACTCCAGGCCAGCGCGTGCAGTATGTGGCTGACCTGAAAAACACAACGAGGAACCTGTCACACACTACAGGTGACGTATCGCTGCACCACATTCCTACCAGATGGCTGTAGGATGTACCTGCTCTGGGGTAAGGATGCTGTAGAGCCGGTCCAAAAGTATCTTTAGCCGAACAGGAATGGCCTGAGCTCCATACAGAACCAGGGAGCTCAGGTCGAACACCAGCCCAGGTAGAGCCACCTCCACTGGGCCGCAGCTGGAGGGAGACTGGGCCTGGAGCTTCTCCAAGGCTGGAGAGGAAGTGCAGAGTCATCACACCACCCGAGGTTTGGCACACTGTCAAAGTAGACGGTTTTAAAAGTAGCTGTGTTCAAAAGTAGCTTTAAATTAACTAAAGATGGCCTGTTTGGACAGCTACAGTTTTACAGACAGTTCAAAGGTCACGAGGTGGATGTGAAAGGCACCTCTTTGTCAGATCAACAGCTGTGTGATCTGGCAAACACTACACAGTTAGACAGGTGTGTGTGAGTGCAGACGCTCTCTCCAGATGTTCCTGGTGATGTGATGACAGTGACACCTGACTTCACGTCACCATAGCTACTGCACACATCTGCAGCGTGTGTGTGTGTGTGCATCAGTCGGTGGGTTAAGTCCCTAGCATAATGTAGGGATATGCAGGTTACAGAAATATTATTAAACCTTCCACTGAATAAATAAATAGTGTAATTATGACGTCTTTTCTGCCATGGACTCGCCACAGTCCTACTGTCCTCATATCTGCACACCTCTGTTTAATCTAAAACTTGTTCTAAACTCCCAAAAGCCAAGACAATGTTCTGACCGATGTTCCCTGTGCTTCCCGTAAACAAATGGAGAGGTAACTGACACAGTGCAGCACTATGAAAACCTTTGTTAGGTATTAGACTGTCCTATAAAGCTCATGTTCAACATTTCTGAGCTTGTTTCTCTTTTGAACAGGTACTATCGACAGTGGATTAAGGAGACGTGCTGTACGCTCACACTGCCGCCTCTACCTTTAAACATCTGGACGGTGTCGACCACGGTGCTGCTGGATTCATTACCATACCGCTGTGAGTTATATGAAAAGGTCAGGTTTGGACACCTACACTGAGAGGGCACAAACCTGTGGGGACAAAGATAGCTGCCCTTACAACTGTTGTATATGATACCGACAAATGTGTGTGCGTCTTACCGTGCGCCACCCAGCCGTGTCCACAACGGTCACATGACCTGAGCTGGGCACTTCCAGGTCTGAAACACAGACAGCTGCAGCCGGACACCGTGCACCTGATGGACTGGCATGTTAACGTGTGTCAGATCAACAGGGGCTTTAATAGCACAACATACAATATTTTGTCAACACTATAGTTTTTGTGTTAACGTTACCACGATAGGACACACATATGCACAGATGTACACACACAGCTGATACCTCCACGGGCTCTGGGGTCATCGTCCTGTCTCAGTCCTGCAAGCAGAAACGTCAGTTCAGCCTCCTGATTGGACGGCTGCACAGCTCAGCCAATCACGTTTAGTATTTAACTTGGTGATTAAACCTAATGAGGCCAGATTGTGTCATTGTTTCTTTACTTTGTACAATGTAAATACAAAACTAACTAAATAAGCTAATGATGTCAAATTATTTGGATATAATTCATATATTTTAAAGAAAAATTCATTAGTTCTACAGGAATTGTATAACCTTTATTAAATTTGTATCAATTGTTTTTTAATGGTTTATTTGTTCATCTATTTTTACAGGAAACAAAAGACACTACTAAAAGGTTTAACTTATTACTTGCTATTATTTTTACATTTAGTTTATTTACAGGTAGTTCAGATAATAACTCACTTCCTCACAGGGACAAGTCACCATTCATCTTCTATTTTTATATTACTAGTACACGTATATCCATGTATTAAATACCTTTATATTGTTACATTCCTTAGTATGTTTTACATTTAATATATTTAATACCAATAGAACTATTCTGTTAAGTTTTTTAGACATTACTTTTCTAATCCAGCTTTTAAAGATACCGTTTGCTGTTGTTGGGATGAATTAAATAAAAATATAAATTATAACAATACGTTTACATTCCAGCTGGAAGTGAACTTTGCTTTATATTAACATAAAATGTTTACACACATTTAAACTAAATTGATCCTAAAGTGTAATTTAGCTGGTTCAAGCTTATTCCAAGCTCAGTTATTGATATAAAACATATAAAACATACCAACCTGTTGTCTTCTCAGGTAATTTTTTCCCTGCAGCTTTCTCTCCGTCCTCTCTGTATCGTTCTGTTGTCCTTTTGCTCCGTCTTCACATCTTGTTTGTGATATTTTGTCTCTTTCTTTCTCCGTTCAGTTCTTCAGAAAGTCATCTTCTCCTCTTGTTTCTGTCCATCTCCGGACTGTACACCCCACTTTCCTCCCTCTCTTATATACATGTACTCCATGTATCCACAGGGTTTTTCTTTGACTCCTCCCTCGCGCTGGGCTGAACAGATGTGATTGGACGAGGACTGACGCTTTACTGGGTGGATGAACATCTTCCCTCCTCGCTCTCTCTCCTCTGTGTCGGGTCTTAAACAAGATGATGATGATGATGGTGGTAGTAGCAGCACATATGTGTGTCTGTGTACCTTGTAACAGCAACACAAGCTCAAAGGTCAAAGGTCACAGGTAAAGGCAGAGGGAGGCAAAAAGGAAGAAAGTGAAAAATTGAGGAAAATTGGAACCAGGGGAGGAAAGTAACTAAGTACATTTACTCAAGTCCTGTAGTTAAATAGTTTTGTGGTATTTGGACATCAGCTCTTGATGTACATGTGCAACGTTCTTCTGTAAGGCAACGAGTAGACAAGAGAACAAGAAAAGAAAGAAGGTACAAACCAGAAAAGTAGTTATAAATATAGCGAAACTGTCCCTGTGCCTGGTTGTCTTGGTGTACAGTGACCTGTAACGCCATCCAGAAGGGAGGAGATCAAACAGATTGTGTGCGGGGTGTGAGGGGTCAGCACTGATCCTCTCCACCCTCCTTTTGACCCGTGCGGTGTACAGGTCCTCCATGGATGGCAGGCTCACACCAGTGACCTTTTATGCAGTCCTCACTGTTTGCTGAAGTCTGTACTTGTCCTGCTTGGTTGCCGAGCCAAACCAGACAGTGATGGAGGTGAAGAGAACAGACTCGATGATTCCTCTGTAGAACTGTATCAGGAGCTCCTGGGGCAGCTCGAACTTCCTGAGCTGGAGCAGGAAGTACATCCTCTGCTGTGCATTCTTGGTGATGGTCCTGATGTTGGACGTCCACTTCAGGTCCTGGGAGATAGTGGAGCCCAGGAACTTGCAGGACTTCACTGCTGCCAAGTATGGTGAGGGGTGGGTAAGGTGGGGGGGTTCTTCCTGAAGTCCACTGTCATCTCCACTGTTTTTAGCGTGTTCAGTTCCAGGTTGTTGTGGCTACACCACAGGACCAGCTGCTCAACCTCCTGTAAAGTCCCTTGATGCAAACCTGTGATGTATGATACTGGGCTGTATAAACTAAAATCTGACTTGACTTTAGCTCGTAGCAGAGTATTTCTACTTTTACTTAAATAGGCCTACTTTCACCACTGGTAGCCACAGACGTTGTGGTTCCATGTTTATATCTTAGACCACTCTGCAGATTTTCTGTTTCTTTGCTGGACAAACTTTTCCAAATCACTAATGTGGATAAAACCGTCCTTGTCTTTTTTGCAGCTGGTGTGACTGCCGGGACCGATTAACGCTCTTTTCTTCATCTGTTGACTGTTGTGTCATTTGCCTTTAGTTGGGGGGGCGAGCTTAGCTTCGTGTCCCAGACAGGACAGCTGACTCTGGTGTTTCCAGACACGCTCGCACACAGAGAACTGACAGGTTTATTCAACAGGAGGCTTCCAGTGTTGCAGCCAGACGTCCTGCTCTCACACAACAGATTAAGTTTAATTCCTGGTGAAGCAGCAGATTCTCTTTTTGTCTGCTTCCAGCTATAAGTGACACATCTGAAGCAGGCCGAGAAGCGTTGAATTCCCTCTGAGGATAAAACATGTAATCCCAGAACAAAGAAGATGCAGGGCCCAGCGACACAACAGCATCATCACTGCCTCTGGCTCGGCTTTTCAAAGTGACCAGCAGCCGGGGGGGCCTCAGAAGGAAAAAAACCAAAATGCTGAGGCAACATAACTGTCAAGTCACTTCAAATATCACTTACATTGCCCAGTATCACAAATTTGCTCCATGAACGGGTACAAAGAAGAAACAGTTTAGCAGAGTGAGCTAACAGACTCCCCCCAGCCTCCTGCAGCTCATCCTCACAGTTTAACGCCATGTTGCTATGGACAACCTTAAATCTTGTATACTATTTGAAACTTTGGGCATTGCTGTGTGTCTGTCTTGTGGTCTACTGGATCATGCGTGAACATCTTGGCTGTACCATCGATCCACTATTGGAACCTGGATTTGGTGCCATCACACAGCTGTTCAGCCAGCCTTTCCCAGTGGCCACTCCCGGTACTGCAACAAAGAATCCGCCTGCACCTCAACTGCAAACAGGTTATCATTAATCCATGGTGTTTTAATCTTTGTAAAACCTTTCCAGAGCCCAGAAAATGGAGTTTTATTTTTGTGAAAAGTCTAAATGCTGAGTGGGAGCACGCAGGCAGGGGCAGTGTGCAGCACAACATGGAACTGTTGGTGTATACACTAGGCAAGCAACATACACTGGGAAGAACGAGGCCAGAATCTACTGCACCCGGCTGGTACAGTCACCAGCACCATGTCTGAAAGGGCCTTTAGTAACTTTGGATCAGTGTTTTGTCTCTGGCTGCTGCAGTGAAGCGTCCTGATGTGAAACAGCCACAGGCTTGGAGATCAGCAACCACCGGAACGCTGATTTCATGGCTCTGAATAAGTGTAACAATAAAGTTAGCAAAGAGAATAGGTGGCTTTTTGAAGGTGTGATATCTTTACCAAACAAGTGATAATTAGGCCATGGCTAAGGTAAAAGCTAGTTTTCAGACACCAGACAAATGCAGGAAGAATCAACACAACTGGTCAAAGACCAAAGTTAATCCTATGCTTTCAAACACACCATGAGCAGAATCCATGATGTCACAGATTTAATGGTCTGCTCTCGTTCCTGGACTTGTACCAGGGTTAGACATTAGGGGGGAGTCCTTTCACTGAGCACAGGCTCATCACACAGATGGTGATAGGAAAATCTGTTTTCCAAGTTTTCTGCTCATTAACAAAGGAATAAAAACTAAAGCTGGAACGTCAAAAGAAAACAAAAGTACAAAAAGAATGGATAAAAAAACTGTCAGCGTCCTGTTTTTGTTCCGGAGCTCCCTTGTGAATATTCACCGCGGTTGCATTTCAAAAAAACTTTACGTTTCATCTGGGTGAGTCCTTGTTCCTCCCTGCCTGCTGTCCTAGTTGTACCTGCGACAACACACACATTTAAACACACACTCCCCCCAGCAGCGACGGCATCAGAGCCAAGTTGGACTCACTACAAAGAGAAGCGCTCGGTCGGTGTAATGACACAGATATAATGGGGGGAGGGAGCTCCTGCACTCAGAGGGGCGGGATAAGGAACTGAAAGAGGGGAGGATGTGAAGCAGAAAGGGAGGACGCACACACACACACACACACACACACTCAGACAGTCAAAGCACATGTGAGAGGACACACACACTACTAAGGAGCTGTAAATACATAACAACACACACAGAGAGACTTTAGTGTCATGTAAAATTCAGCTGCAGAGTTTGTGGTGACAAATGACAGAAAAGTCTCAGAGGAGGAAAACCACTTAACCAGGTGGCAAAGCCTGGTCCTAAAGGACTATACAGGACTGTATACACTGTAGTCCATTAAATGAACACCACAAATACTCAACAGACCCACCGTAGTAGGGTGAACCGTGGTGTCTGGCTAAAGGCCGAGCTATGCTACATCACTGGCCTTCACGCTCAGCTCTGGTCTCGTGTTGCTGCTTCCTGTTTGTGTCAGCGCCATGTACCCAGCTCCAGTGTGAACACTGCTGAGCTCCTAAACTGCCATGTGCACAGAGGTAACTGAAATGTGAGCCACGTACACAGGGTAACTGAAATGTGAGCCACGTGCACAGAAGAACAACCACCAGGTGGTGTGTGCGATGGTCAAATGGCCCAGTTTCCTCCCAAACCACTGGGTTATGATATGTTCCTCCCAGTTTGTCCTGATCAGAAGCTTCTCCATAAACATCCACCACATGTGAAACGTCCTGGTTTCTCCACTGACCCCATCACTGTCATCGCTCTCCTCCATGTTTATTGTTACTGGTCTGTGAAGGGCCGACGCCGAATGACGACAGGCCGTATGTGTTAAAACGACCACATGGATTCTGATCTGACCGTTCTGACAGCGCTGCACAGTCAGAGGTCAGAGAGGAATTGGGTCAAGGAGCACATACACAGGTGGCCCAGATCTGGTCTGAGGACACCTGGTCTGTTCACACTGCTGTGATGTGAACGGACGTTACAGGATGAAGCAGTAGGAAATGAATGGTTGACTGATTCTGGAGCAGACACTGGGTTTCCATCACACACTCCTCTCAGTGTGGTAAACAGTCCCCGGTTTCCCCCTGCTGCTGTTTGACTTTCTTCCTCCACTGGTGTTGAACATCCGGTGCGACCTGGTTCCATGAGTTTAGAGGAGACAGAGCCAAGAATCAGGACCAGGACACACACACACACACACACACACACAGAGCCAGGACAGCGAGGAGGTGGTACCACCGCTGCATTTCAAACACAGCTCCTCTGAGAGGTTCTGGTGAGGAAGTGTGTCAGCGAACAGCGGCGATCACACACACGCACTGTTGGCGTCTGATATTCTAATTAGTACAACATCAAAACAGGAAAGAGGTCCACCGGCTCCTGGCACACGCCGCCTGTCCAACAGCCCGTTTGTGTGTGCGCAGCTCAGATCAGCCAGAGCGCTGTTTCAGCTCCGGGAGGAAAAACTGAGAAGGTTTCTGTCTCTTTCTTTCTGACAGGAGCTTGAGGGAATCAACAAAGTGATTCAAGACACCCAGTTCAGGGAGCTCTGCTGCTACCGCGGATGTTTTGGATGGTGAAACTCTAAGAGAAGGATTCAGACTCATGGCCAAGAATCAATTTTAGAACCCAGGGTTTGAAGCTGGACGTTAGGCCGAGCTCAGGACACTTTACAAAGGTCTAGACCTCAGGAAGAGGCCTAGTCCTGTCTTCTCATGTTCCAGTTCATCCAAAACGTTGTATATGAATCATTTCAGAGGCCTAGAAGGAAACAAAAGCACTAAATCATAACAGAAGTCTAACAGGTTTATTTATTTACATTATCCTATTGGATTTGAATACTTTCTACTTTTCACAGCATTTTTCCTCAGACACCGTCTTCACTTCAGAAGTGGACAGCTGTCACACTGGAGCGTGAAGACCTGCTGGATGCTTTAATTCATTTAACCTTGCATTCTTCGCAGGCAGCAGCAGGCCAGGTGTCCCACTGTCACTCTGATTCAATCTGACCCTTGGGGAGGGCCTTATTCCAACAGGGGACACCAAGGCTGACGGACACACCAAGGACAGGTGTCCTACAGGACACGAAACACAAACTCACATAGTGCTGGGCAGCTCGTTTCCCACCGGGATCAATAGAGTCTTATGATTTGGTTCTATTGATCTGAAGTTATCAAACACACGAGCAGGAGAATCCAGTTGAGCTGAATCAGCACGGCTCAGTGTGACAGCAGTGAACACGGAGCCCGAGGGCGACAGGATGGTTTGGGTTTTTGTTTTTAGACAGAAATCCTCACAGGCCCACACACACACAGAGCCGTGTTTTCATTCCTTGTGGGGACTTTACATTGACTTACATTCATTTCCTGTAGACTTATCCTAACCTTAACCATAACCACTACTTGCCTAAACTTAACCCCACCCTAACCCTAAACCATGTTGCCACCCTAAAATTCAGTGATTTGGCCGAGTCCCCACAGTGTGAGTGTGTTAACAGGTTTCGGTCCTCATCATGTGAGGACACACATGCACTGAGCTGTCGATCTGATGCTGCTTTAGAAAAATGTTTCTTTTTCTTTTTCTCACATTGTTCGTCCACATTTCTTCACGATCAGCAGCTTTGGCTCCTTTTACACTTCGTGCTATTTAACACACTTCCTCTTACGCTATGACACAAACGACCACTTTAATAAGTACACACAGCTGAAAGTCACATAGCGTCCTGCCTTCACACCTGACTCAGATGTTTTCACACCGTTCAATGATGAACGTCCTGCAACATGAGCCGCTTCATCAGGTACAGTCTGAAGGGACAGGAAACAGCGCTTTAAATATAAGTGAATACCTCGGTCCAAGTAGAAGAGCGGACGTGTTTCAGTGAGGGTGATAGCAGCTGCTGATCTGTCTTTGTCGTAACAGGAGACCATCTGGCCTTCAGACGTCTGTCACCAACAAGCTGTGTGTGCAGGAGAACACACAAACACAACCAAGCAGGCTGAACAAATCACTGGCTGCGCTTTGTTTTCTACAGATACGAATAAAGCTTCGACTGTCTGGATGTTTCTCTGATGGAAATCTTCACATATGTCAGGCTGACGACTTCCATCACTTCCTGAAACTCTTCTTCTTCTGCAGGATCTGCAGGACTTTGGGAACACAGTGGTCACACCAGCTGTCGTCAGGTCAAACTACATCAGGAAGTGATCCTTTCCCCTTTCACTTCCTGTCTGCCCATCTATCGCCTCCCTCTGCCTTTCACATGTCCACTGTTCTTCTTCAGGGGTTTTCTCTCCTTCGTTTTAGGGGTTTTCTCTCCTTCCTTCTGTCCCTGGGGGGGCTGAAAAAGGCAGATGGAGTGGTGGGGGTTGGCTGGGAGGGGGCTGTGTTTAAACTCACTGGTGGCCCCTCTGAGAACCCAGTGAGGGGGGCAGGTTTAGGAGCCTCCGCCTCATCGAATGGGAAGCTTTGGGGAAACTCAGCCACCTGAAACAAACGCAGGGACAGAAACCACACAGAGGTAAAATCTCATTTCCCCTTTCTGTTACCATTTTAAGTGTTTCAGAGATTAACAGAGCCATAACATCAGAAGCAACAGGCACCTTTATATAAAATACACTGTGTCAGGCTGATTAAGGTTCAGTGCAAACGAACAGAGGCTCTAATTCACACAGCAAAGGCAGAGAAGAAGAGTGACCCCTGACTGAATAACAGGAACAGCAGCACAGACTGTGAACGTTAAGCAGCATTCACTGGATCAGTCTGCATCAGTTCTAGGTCAGTGTACCTAATAAACTGACAACTCTGTGCATTTTATTTTGAAAACCAATTACATGACCTGGGGGCAGCGGGTGCAGCAGGGCGGTCCCTGTCCCCCTCGCCCCAGAAAACAGCACCAAAATACTCAGCTGATGATGAAATAAAACTCAGAAAAGTGTGAGTGTCATACAGGGACAAAGGCCGGGTTGTCGTGGAGACAGGCGTCCTGCAGCTCGCTGCGCAGAGCGGTCACATGACTGCGATGGGCGGCGACCTCCTGCTCCAACCAGTCGATCCTGGAGCTGCAGGTGTGGAAGAGCTGAGACACGACGGAGAGAAGACTCTGCAGAGACAGAGAGCGAGAGATGGAGGAATCCATGTGAGGGAAGGAGAGACAGCAGACAGACCGACTTACCTGGCACACTGCCACCTCAGGAGCTCCCATGATGCTCTCTGCTCCACTCAGCTGCCTGGGTAACAGCAGGGGGCGGGGCTGTGCTGACAGCGAGCTCCGTGATTGGATGAGACTTTCCCTGACCTGCGGACCGCGATGTGTTGTGTTACCAAAGGCCGACGTGTTTTCTGTGTTAACAGACGTGTGTGTTCATGTGTGTTCACCTCCTTGTAGCTCGTCTCGGCGGCCGTCATGCAGCTGATCAGACGGTCTTTACGCCTTGGAGAGAAAGAACATTAAAGAATAAACAAACAGTACAAGACAGTCTTTCTTTTCTGCATGTCAGCATGAGGGCGTGGCATAATCAGCACATCAGATAGTGACATTCAGTGGAGAGAGCAGCAGTGCAACAGGTTCCTACAGAGAGCGTTGCATTATGGGTAGTTTGTAGCTTTTTACACTTGGGGGTGTGAACTGTGATGCATTGTCTATGAAACGACATCCTATGACAGAACAACAATACCTGGTGGCGTCCCTCAGCGCGTCTTCAGCCCGCTGCAGTCGCCCCTCCAGCTGCGTCCTCTCCTTCTGAACCCCCAACAGGTGTTTACCCAGAATCCTCAGAGAGCGCTGCTTGCGACTCAGCTCCTGCCGAGCCTCCAACAGAGCCTAGGGTCACGTCGTGGAGACACGTTTACCAAACGCCATCACACAAACACGGCAACACTTTCAAACAAACACAGCCGTCGTTCGCTGGTCATTCCAGTAGCACCTCACTACTGGGAACCAGTCTTAATGTGTTTCCCAGAATGCTTTTCAGCAAGACTGCGCACCTGAACACAACTGAGAGACGCAGCTATTTTAGTGTGTGTGCACCTGTGTGGTCTGGCTCAGTGTGTGTTGTGTGTTGGTCTGCTCAGAGGAGAGCGCGCTGACTCGGAGCTGCAGTGTGTGCAGCCGGTTGGTCTGATCCAGGATCAGCGTCTGAGCCTCTTGCTCTCTGTTCACAGCCTGACGCAGCTCCAAACACGCACTGTGGAAACGCTCGGCGGGGACCTGCGCACACAAACACAGACACACACGTACAGTAGGACCTTGGCTTCCACTGCCTGCTCTTTGAACACGGAAACTGTCCACAGTCTTTGCTCAAAAACAAAAAGGGTCTGAACCAATGAGACGTTTCCTGCTCAGCTTGTTTGGTTTTAAATGGGAATCTGTGATTTGGACACTAGAACCTATGAGTCCTTAAGTGCAGGACTCACTGGAAACTGTTCATGCAGTTAATGATGAAATAAAAGCACATGGTGCCCCAGTGCATGCTGGGAAGCTGCCCAACAAACCTGCTTCATTCCTACACCAGAGAGACACGGGATCCTGTCTTGTTTTCACTGGACCTATCAGACAACGTGTGAAGTATCATGCACCTCGGCTCGACCGGAGCCCGGGTCTCACCATCCTGCAGGCGTCCTCCCGCTCCCGCCTCAGCCCTCTCATCAGACCGGCCACCTCCAGCCTCAGGCTCCGCCGCTCCACCTCGGCCGAGTGCAGCCGCTGGCTGAAGAGCAGGAAGTGCTGCTGCAGGGTGGAGACCAGGGTCTGATGGGAAGATGCATACGGAGGTCACAGGTCAGCAGGTGGATAATACGTAAGGAGTACATCTGGTGTTACATCTAAATGTGGCACATTCTTTAACAGAAACCACAACGACTCCACTACAAACATGAGGAGCTGGTTTAATAGCTGCTGACACCAGTTGTCCAGCTGGTGCCATTAAACCACCGCAGGAGGAAAGATGACAAACACAAACCTCAGGCAGTAAATTCATTCTTAACATATTTCAAAAACAACCACTGAAGATGTGATGAGGAAGAACAACCACGGTTTCTACATCAGCTGTAAGAATGTGGTTTAGTGAGTGTGGCTCTGTCTGTGACCTTCACGTCGGGTCGCGGAGGCGTCAGTCTGTTCAAGCCGAGTCTCAGCAGGCCGCTCAGCGTGTCCACGTCCTCTCTGCAGGACGCTACGTCTGACTGGTGGAAAAGGTGATCCAGGAGGCGGGACAAAGCAGAACGAGCTGCAGACGTGACATTCTGAGGGGAGGAGCCTAAAACAAGAGAGGGGAGGAGCCAGTTAAATCCCAAATCCCTTAACTGCATCATGTAAGACACGAAGAGAGAGGAACCAAGGAAACAAATGATGTGAGCTCGACCGTGTCATGTACATGTATTTACAGGAATGATGGGAAGTCCACATTAAGTGTCCTGGTGACCTCCACATGCAGCAGTGTTAATGGGTACCTAGTACTCTTAGTACTCACAAATACTTCCTGTTTGCGGGTACTGGGACAGATCCAGATTTTGTGCATTAGTGACGGTGTGTTTACCGGTGTGTGACAGCGCCCCCTGCAGGTCAGCCATGGAGGACAGAATGGTGGAGGACAGACACTTGGAGCGCAGCCAGCGGGCACACAGCTCTTCACGACTTTCACCACCCATGTCCACTTTATGGAAAAGATGACAAACAGGAAATGCTACAGTCAAAACAAACAGATTCAGTAAAGTGTGTATCAAATATTGAAATAATTAAATAACGTGGGGTTTCAGACTGAACATCCGAATGAAACTTGAAAATAAACTCTTTGCTGCTGCTTGATCAAGCTGAGCCGACCACTTCCTGTACCTGGACTCGGCCCATTTTGTCCCTTCTGCGCTGCCGTAGCCGACCCTCTGCTGAGGCACACCACAGGACAGCCGCCGCCTCTCTCCAGCCGAAACAACACTGGTGTCTTTTTGCCCAGAATACACCACCTCCTCACCGCCAACACCACACACACACTCCTCCTCCACCACCTCACTGCCTTCCTCCCCGTTTCCTCCTCAAGGTCTCCGTTACCTGCCAGAGCGTCAGCCAACCTCCTCACCTCCCCCTCCAGCACCTCCCTCTCTGCCAGCTGCCTGGACAGGAGGGCTTTCTGCTCGGTCAGCGTTTGCAGACGCCAGAGAGTGTGTCTCAGTGCCCCGGCCAGCAGAGCGCAGGCTAGAGAGAAGGATGCTGTCTCCTGACGGCTTCGAGAGAGGAGGCCCTGGAGCCGGGAGAGGTCAGAGGTCAGCAAGAAGCACTGGTGCTCCAGAGAGGAGGCGTGATCCTGGAGAGAGTCGCACTGAGAACGACACATCTGAGTGACACGTTTGCAGACGCCAGAGAGTGTGTCTCAGTGCCCCGGCCAGCAGAGCGCAGGCTAGAGAGAAGGATGCTGTCTCCTGACGGCTTCGAGAGAGGAGGCCCTGGAGCCGGGAGAGGTCAGAGGTCAGCAAGAAGCACTGGTGCTCCAGAGAGGAGGCGTGATCCTGGAGAGAGTCGCACTGAGAACGACACACCTGTGGCGGAAAGCAAACATTCAGTGATGAGGTCTAATGCTGGTGATCCTTTATCTCCAACAGCTAAAAACATCACTTTTTACAGAGAGAGAGCCTCTAGTCCCCGCCCTGGTCCCCACCCTGGTCCCCACCCTGGTCCCCACCCCGGTCCCTGCTCTCTGGTCCCCGCCCCGGTCCCTGCTCTCTGGTCCCCGCCCCGGTCCCTGCTCTCTGGTCCCCGCCCCGGTCCCTGCTCTCTGGTCCCCGCCCTGGTCCCTGCTCTCTGGTCACACTGCTCCACCAGCTGCTTGCAACATGTTGGAGCTGGTTGTTGGAAACAAATGAGCCTCATGTTTCCTGAGGAGGAAACCTGCCCCCCAGTGCAGCGGAGTGGCTCACTGGGGGGTTTGATAACTGGTGGACAACAGTGGAGGTCTACGGCACAGAGCAATGAGCTGGACCAGGGTCTGGACTCTTGAGAGTACGACCACTATCAACCAGATGTTAGCTGAGCTGTGATGTTTCAGCTCAATGTGAATCTTCGCTGGAGTCTCCTGATAAAGTAACTGTACTACGTCCCGTACTACGCCCCGTACTACGCCCCGTACTACATCCCGTACTACGCCCCGTACTACATCCCGTACTACATCCCGTACTACTGTGGACAGGAAGTGGCTGCTGTAAAGTGAACGTCTCCTCTTGGGAGAAACAAAGTTGGAGCTGAAGTGATGATTTTAGCATCTGTCATCTCATCACTTGACAGAGGAGCTGACCAAAGGGACAGTCAACAAAGCTTCCTTCATCTCTCTGCAGCGTTCTGCTGACTCAGCTCTGAGCGTCTCCGTGGCTGCAGGGAGAGACGACTGCGACTGATGAGCGTGTGCGTTACCTGCAGCTCGTTCTGCAGCTGTGTGACAGCCTGCGTGTGCTGGCTGCTCCAGGCCTCCTCCCTCCTCCTCACGCTCTCCTCCAGGCGAAACAACACACACTCCTGACTGCGCTGCAGCTCGCGCACACACGCACTCTTCTTCTCACACACGCTCTGCAGCTTGGCGATCTACAGAGAGAGAGAGGGAGGGCGGCAACAGAGGAACATGACAGACATGAAGCATTGGCGTTGACCATCTCTATAACAAAGTGCAGATTTAGGCTCAGACCCCTTTACACCAGCGTTAACACCAACTCAGAGCTCAGCGGCGCCGCGCAGCCCGCCGCACTGTTCACACATTCTGTATTTGTATAACCAGATGTTATGTGTGAACTCCCTGCCACTGCTCCTGTAACTGATTCACAACTAAATCTCACTGCATCCTGTTTGTTCATCCAATATTAACACATATACGACTGAGTCAGATAATCGTAAACATGAATCTGAAACCGCTCAGGTTGGAATATTTACTGGTTCCAGTTTCTCCAGTGTGACCATCTGACACTTTTGTCATGTGATTGTCAGACTGTCTTTGGGAGTTGGACTGCTGGTGGAATAAAACCGGCACGTACATCTCCACAGGCTGTTGGGAGGTATAGCGGCACATCTTCAGACGTATATGAGACACAATAATTAATCAGCCATGACAATAATCAGCAGCCCTATTGATTACACTGTGGTGGTTAGTGGGGTGTAATCAATAACAAGGTAAAGGGATTTCTCACTCTCCCAAACACCGATATTCACTGGCAGTAGCTGTTCACCTTGTCGTTGGCCTTCAGGAGGTCAGAGGTCAGCTGGTCAACCTGCTCGCTGATGACATCACACAGCTCCGCCCAGGTGAAACTACCCAGGATGCTGTGGGGCTGGTCGAGGAGGACGCAGCCGGCCAGCAGGCGCTGGTACACACGGTAGAGGAAGGACAGACAGGCCTAACGCACACACACACACACACACACACACACACACACACAGTGTGATGTTGTTTTATAGGATTTACTCAGCATCAACAACAGTGTAATTAAATGTTCAGACATAATGACGTTAACCTGCTCTGTAGCAGAACAACACAGTAAGACAGGAGGCGAGAACATGACGGCGAGGTCGTCTACAGTACAGCACATGAACCTGAACTTCACTCACAGACTAAAGCTACTGTCAGGAGACTGGGAAGACTGGGGACCTACTGGTTTAGATTAATACCATGTACTAGAAGCACAACGTTCCTGCTCTGATATCAGCAGGGGACCTTTACTGATGCCACACTCCTGCTCTCCTGAATTGTTTCCTCTGTTAAGAGTGGTAGCGGTTTTGAACGTCTTTATTCAGGCCTGGGAGGTTTCATCAGTGAGCACGAAGTACAAACGAACAAAGCTCATCTTTTACAGCTAAGACAAAGGAAAACAACTCTAGTTCTCGCTCTGTCAGAGATCGGATAGGATCTAGGAGCACGTACAGGGAGGAACATAAGTATTTGAACACCTGAGAAACAGCAAGAATTCTGGTTTTCAAAGACCTGTTACTGTGCCTTGAAAAAGTCCACCTCTACTCCACTCATTAATCTAAATTAGTAGCACCTGTCTGAGCTCTTTAAAGACACCTGTCCACCCCACAGTCAGTCAGACGCCAACTACTACCATGGGCAAGACCAAAGAGCTGTCAAAAGACACCAGAGACAAAATTGTGGACCTCCACAAGGCTGGAAAGGGCTACGGGGCAATTGCCAAGCAGCTTGGTGAAAATAGATCAACTGTTGGAGCAATTGTTAGAAAATGGAAGAGGCTAAAGACGACTGTCAGTCTCCCTCGGACTGGGACGCCATGCAAGAGCTCACCTCGTGAGGTATCACTGATTATAAGAAAGGTGAGGAATCAGCCCAGAACGATAGGGAGGAGCTGGTCAATGACATGAAGAGAGCTGGGACCACAGTTTCAAAGGTCACTGTCAGTAGAACACTACGCCGTCATGGTTTCAAATCATGCATTGCACAGAAGGTTCCCCCTGCTCAAGTCATCACATGTCCAGGCCCGTCTGAAGTTTGCCAAAGACCATCTGGATGATCCAGAGGAGGCATCGGTGAAAGTCATGTGGTCAGATGAGACCAAAGTAGAACTTTTTGGTCTAAACTTCACTCATCGTGTTTGGAGGAAAAAGAAGGATGAGTTGCATCCCAAGAACACCATCCCTACTGTGAAGCATGGGGGTAGTAACATCATGCTTTGGGGGTGCTTTTCTGCGAAGGGGACAGGACGTCTGCACTGTATTAAGGAGAGGATGAATGGGGCCATTTATTGTGAGATTTTGAGCAACAACCTCCTTCCCTCAGCCAGAGCATTGAAGATGGGTCGTGGCTGGGTCTTCCAACATGACAACGACCCGAAGCA